ACGCGGGCCTCTCACTGTTGTGGCCCCTCCCATTGCGGAGCACAGGCTCCAGACGCACAGGCTCAGCGGCCATGGCTCACGGGCCCAGCCGCTCCGCGGCATGTGGGATCTTCCCGGACCGGGGCACGAACCCGCGTCCCCTGCATCGGCAGGCGGACTCCCAACCGCTGCGCCACCAGGGAAGCCCAGGATGGGACATCTTTGAGGGGCCATGATTTTGCCTATGACAGGGACTAACAAGATGATTGGATGGTATGATCGCTTATGTCAGACGTGTTAACCTCTACTCTCAAGTATCTAGGTGGGCCAATAATTGGGGAATCTTTGACATAAATAGTTGTGGGTCTTTATTCTTGGATTGGCCAGATTCTCCAGAGAAGCATCTTTCAATATCCTGCCTGGAGGGTAAGGATCTGGTTACTGATATTTTGGTAGCCAAGTGGGAAAGAGGGCTGGGGGTTTCTGTGTATGGCGTTCAGCATGCATATGGTCATTTAATCTTCTTGTTTTTGTTATGGTAGCCATACCCTCAACTGTGCCTGGTGTTCCCTAGTGCAGATATGATCTTCTTTTACCCTCTCCAGAGAAAAAAAATTACAGACTTCTCGGGTAGGGAAGAAGCAATCACCCAAAGGTGTGGACTGGAGGGTGGAGCACAGGGACCTAATACCTAACTACTTCTCAAAACCCTTTCACTTAGTCTTCCTTATTTTGGTCATCTCTTTTGACTTTATCCAGTTCTGTAAGTACCTGGTACTGCCAGTTCCTGTGTGTTACGAGTATTATTCAGTATAAATGGGAATGATTTTCAGCTTTCCCTGGTTCACTTTTTCAGGTCCACTAGGTCAGTTATTATCTGTTTGTTTTCCACATCCCCAAATGTCCAAAACATTGTCTCTTGTTGCTGTTGCCTTTATTCTTTCTAACCTTGTGATTTATGACTTAAAAGTCCATTTACTCTGGGAGTGTTTTTTGAACTTTGGGAGGGAGTGAAATTAAATATATGGATTCCATCTAACATTTTAATCATTTTTCAACTACGATGAAATTTCCCCGAGTCTGCAGACCCCCAAGATATGCTTTAAAAAACAGATTGTAGGACTGAGAATAATATGCCATGGCACCTCCTCAAGTCATTATCTCTGTTACTCAGCCCTGTTCCTTTCAGACAATAAGCCCTTAACTTCTGGCACTCTTCTAACACCTAGTGAGATATAGTACTTTGCCATAAGCATACTTCCTCTGCCTAGAGTGTTGATCTCTGAACTTCATCTACCTCTCCTCAATAGCCTGCAACTTCCTTGTTTTGTTTTAATCCAGGTCAGACTTTACCTTCCTTGTGATACTTTCTCTGCTTTCACCAGAGAGGCTTGTGCTCCTTTAGGGCTTTTGCAGCAGCTCATTTCTACCTTTTATTTCACTTCATGTTTTTTTAAAATTTTTATTTACTTTATTTATTTATTTTTGGCTGTGTTGGGTCTTCGTTGCCGTGCACGGGCTTTCTCTAGTTGCAGCCAGCGGGGGCTACTCTTCGTTGTGGTGGATGGGCCTCTCATTGCGGTGGCTTCTCTTGTTGCGGAGCATGGGCTCTAGGTGCTCAGGCTTCAGTAGTTGTGGCACATGGGCTCAGTAGTTGTGTCTCATGGGCTCTAGAGCGCAGGCTCAGTAGTTGTGGTGCATGGGCTTAGTTGCTCCGCGGCATGTGGGATCTTCCCAGACCAGGGCTCAAACCCATGTCCCCTGCCTTGGCAGGCAGATTCTTAACCACTGCGCCACTAGGAAAGCCCCTTATGTTGTTTTTATCCTTCTCTCACCACCAGCTTGTGTGTGCATATAGGACAAAGGACCAGCTTAGGCACTTATATGTCTCCAGAGCCCAATACTGGGCACATTGTAGACACTTACTGTTGTTGAATGAGGAAACCTTTTTAATGTTTCACAAAACTTAATGGCAGTCATAAATTACCTGTAATAAGACTGCATGTACTGAAATACCAAGCTATTTTTTTTTTTTTTTTTTTTTTTTTGTACGCGGGCCCCTCACTGCTGTGGCCTCTCCCACTGCGGAGCACAGGCACCGGACGCGCAGGCTCAGCGGCCATGGCTCACGGGCCCAGCCGCTCCGCGGCACGTGGGATCCTCCCAGACCGGGGCACGAACCCGTGTCCCCTGCATCGGCAGGCGGACTCCCAACCACTGCGCCACCAGGGAAGCCCTATTTGTTTGTTTTTATTTAAAGCCAGAATTATTTCAACAATGCTTGGTAATAGGGTTGCTTTTCTTACTAAAGGCTCTGGCATTTATGCATGTCTGATTAAGAAAGAACATAGAAACAAATTAACTTATTTAATAGCATTTGGAATTTGGGGGCAGAAAATAACTCTGCTAGTAAAAAGTAAAAGTAAAAATCTTAAAGATGTGGTTTGCTTATTATGTTTTGTTTGTAGGTCAAGTCAGGATTCTTCCATGAAAGTGATTCCAAAGCTGTTGCTAAGTCCATTAGAGACCGGGTGGCCCTGATAAAGAAGACAAGGGAGAAGAAGCCAGCTGGCTGTTTGGAAGAACGCAGAGACTCCCAGTGCAAGTCTGTGGGGAATGTACTCCCTCAGCCCCGAAATACAGCTTTGCTCCCTCCTCCTGCTCAGCACAGCGGGGCTGAATGTGAAGAAACTGAAGTTGATCAACATGTGCGACAACAGCTTCTGCAAAGAAAACCACAACGGCATTGCTCCTCTGTTACAAGTAACACAGTTATAATTTATAAAAGGAAATGTGTAATTGTATTCCCTTATCTTTAAATAGTACTTTTGTATGTTTCGAAGCATTTTGTTATCTATCATTTCATTAATCCTTTTACAAAATCCCTGAAATAGGCAAGACAGATAGTTTCCTTATTTTAAAATTAAGAAACTGTTCTGTTAAGTGACTTGTCCAAGGTACTAGTTGAATAAGGATTATAATCTTTTTACCATTTTTAAGGGTCTCACGGTAAATCCTTTAGTAAAGAATATATGCAACTAAAGATAGAATTTATTCTTCAAGAGGGAATTTTCTAGACTTTAAGAACTTTTGTATTTTAGACCCAAGTATAAAATTAACACAGCTTCTCTAATATTTCTGCTGTAATGCCTTCTCTTCTCTAGAAGGACACAGTATTTTCGTAGTAATAACCAGTTGTTCCATAAAGGCAGTATTATTTTCTAGCCAGGTTCTAGGAGAATGAGAATATGCTACCTAGATTTTACTGAAATCCTAATGGCAAACAAAGATTAGTTAGGATATGCATGAAATGGCCAGCAAATCGAGTTGACTTTTATGTGATTCTTTATTTGTAGGTTTGCTTTACTAAGAATATTTTAGTTATACCACAGTATCAACATGGAGAGTTTACATGATGGTTTTTTATTAATTCTGCAGTGTACATATTTTATTTGAAGCTGTTTAAGGTTGTCAGAGTAAAAAAGAAAAAAATTAAAGAAACACTTACCATTTCCTGTGCTATTTGGACCTTGTGTTTAAAGCTTTTCCCTTCTACCTATCACTTGTTTTCTTTGCCATAGGTGACAGTTTGTCTGAGGCAGGAGCTGGATCAGTTATACATTCAGAAACTTCAAATCAGCCCAGTATATCCTATTCCTCAGACCAGATGATGGGCTCTCAAATGGTTTCTAACAACCCACAGGCTGAAATAAATGTTCCAGGGGAAATTTATCCATCCCAGCAGCTAGTGGGACATTACCAGCAGATTTCAGGGGTGAGGTGAAGTGTTAAATATATTTTAAATATATAATCAGTATATTTACTGTAAATGGGAGAGTTTATCTATAATTTTTTTTTTAACAGTTGCAGAAGCAGCCAAAGCTGACTCAGCCCCAAATTTTGCCTTTGCTTCAAGGTCAGTCCACTGTTCTGCCTGTACATGTCCTTGGACCTCCGCTTGTCTCACAACTCCAGTTTTTGCCATCAAGTGTCCCAAAGGTCTCACAGGTAAAGGTAAGATACATTTTAGAGGCTCCGTATTCAGTTAAACTTATTTAACACTGACTAGGTTTTCTGACAGGCAAAGGCCTTCTTTCATAAATTCATCCTAGTTTATATAAAAGTCACTGAAAGCTAAAAGTTGTTTATACTTTCCTTCACTTAAGACATTCTTCTTGAGGATGTGTCTAACATTGTGTAACTAGAATCTCGAGACACTGCTTGTATAATTGGAAGAGAAACTGAGAACTCCATATACGGATAAAAAAGTTTATTTAGGGGACTTCCCTGGTGGTGCAGTGGTTAAGAATCCACCTGCCAGGGCTTCCCTGGTGGCACAGTGGTTAAGAATCCTCCTGCCAATGCACGGAACACAGGTTCGAGCCCTGGTCCAGGAAGATCCCACATGCCGTGGAGCAACTAAGCCCATGCGCCACAACTACTGAGCCTGTGCTCTAGAGCCCACGAGCCACAACTACTGAGCCTGCGCACCACAACTACTGAAGCCCATGCACCTGGAGCCTGTGCTTCGCAACAAGAGAAGCCACTGCAATGAGAAGCCCGTATACCGCAACGAAGAGTAGCCCCCACTTGCCGCAGCTAGAGAAAAGCCTGCACGCAGCAACAAAGACCTAATGCAGCCAAAGATAAAGTAAATTTAAAAAAACAAGAAAAAAAATAATCCGCCTGCCAATGCAGGAGACACGGGTTAGAGCCCTGGTCCGGGAAGATCCCACATGCCACGGAGCACCTAAGCCCATACGCCACAGCTACTGAGCCTGCGCTCTAGAGCCCACGCACCCGTGCACCTAGAGCCCGTGCTCTGCAACAAGAGAAGCCACTGCAATGAGAAGCCCGTGCGTCGCAATGAAGAGTAGCCCCCACTCACCGCAACTAGAGAAAAGCCCATGCACAGCAACAAAGACCCGACACAGCCAAACGTAAATAAATAAATTTTAAAAAATTATTTAGGACTCAGATCCCTTTTTATGGTTTGTTTTTTGTATTGGACTTTTCCAGCCTGGTTTGAATGTAGAGGGATGTCTTTGGTAGTTAAGTAGAAACAGTATTTCATAGACTCTTATAATTTTAAGCACTTTCATCTAAATTCTTGACTCTTTTGGTTCACATTTATTTCTGTAGGAGAAATAAGTGTTTTTGTCATTTAGACTCTCAAAGTCAACGGTACTCATTTCTGACAACGAGTACACAGTCTTTGTGAGAGTTCATATATCAAGACTATATCCTGGTTTCCTAGGTTATGGACTCTGGATACATGGTTGGACTTTTCTTTGTTATCCCATTTTCTTTCCTCAACCCTACCATCCCCTGTGTGTCTCTTCTCTCTTTGGGAATGAGTTGGTCTGAGCTCCTAGGCATTCTCTGTATATGATTTAGTTAGCAGCTGGTGATCTGTTGCTTTTAAGAGATTGGTATATAGTCATAGTTCATCAACAAACTTTTAATGACTATCATCTCTGGGCATATAAAATGAGACAAAATATGGTCCTTGCCCTGAAGAACTCACAGACTTGTAGGGGAAAAAATACATGTACTTGACAAATGCCAGATGCTTTTAAAATCTGCTGGGGGTATACTTAATCTGATATGGTTGACAGTGCATGGTGTTTGGCTAGTATTTGTAGCTTATATGGTATATGTTCATACTTGAGCTCATGCTGTGGTTGGATTTATCTCTTTTTAAGACTATAATGCGAAGTGTGTTGGATGGATGCTTAAATTAACTTAGGTTCAACCACGTAAATATACAGGTATGTGTATTTTGAAATGTGTTTCCAAAAATTTTAAAAGAAGTTTAAAAACTTTATGAAAGTGTTATTTACCTATTTAAAATAAAGCCTATAAAGTTATAAAGAAGGCAGTGAAAATAACCTACTATCTCTCCAGCTAGAAATAAATTATTGTTTACATTTGGTGGTAGAGACTCTAGATTTGTCTTTTTTTCTATGTATACATATATAACTTTGGTTATACATACATATGTATATCACATACATACTATTTTGTAGCCTGCCTTTTTCACCTAATATATAGAATCCACATAAGCAAGCACTTTAACCAGTGGGGGTCTTTTTATGAATGTGGTGGTTCAAGTTCTAGGAATTATTACAGCCAGCCTATATGTATTCAGCCAACTCACTCCTCTCCTCTTGAGAGAGCTTCTCTGTTCCCTTTAACTATGATATTGAAATCCTTTTGAACTTCCACTGTCTGGTGTGTGAAGGTGTCAGATTCAATTACTCTGAATTTCTGCCAGGGTTTGAATGAGTTATGTGGCAAGTGCAATAAATGAGAAGCCATGAGCAATATGTTGCCTGGGGACTGGTCTCAGCCCCTTAGTGTATTCAATTAGCATTTACTCATGGTATTAGGATTTTTATAGGACTAATGCTATACCCAGCACCTTTTTGATAACTTTCTGAAATTTTTTTAAAATTTATTTTTGGCTGATTTGGGTCTTCATTGCTGTGCACGGGCTTTCACTAGTTGTGGTGAACGGGGGCTACTCTTTGTTATTGTGCGTGGGCTTCTCAATAAGGTGGCTTCTCTTGTTGTGGAGCATGGGCTCTAGGCATGCGGGCTTCAGTAGTTGTGGCACGTGGGCTCTAGAGCACAGGCTCAGTAGTTGTGGCACACAGGCTTAGTTGCTCCACAGCATGTGGGATCTTCCCGGACCAGGGATTGAACCCGTGTCCCCTGCATTGGCAGGTGGATTCTTAACCACTGCACCATCAGGGAAGTCCCTGAAATTTTTACAACATAGCATTATTTTATCGATCATTCTGTCTGGGACCATTAAAATGAGCATGGTATATGCATTTATTTTATTTTTTAATAAAAAATTTTTTTGGCCTCACTGTGCAGCTTGCAGGATCTTAGTTCCCCAACCTGGGATCAAACCTGGGCCCCTGGCAGTGAGAGCACCAAGCCCTAACCAGTGGACGCCAGGGAATTCCCATGGTATATGCATTTATAATTTGAATTTTCCTTGCACCAGCATTAGGAACTATAGCTGACCTTTGGAGCAGATGGACAAATTTCAGCTCAACCTATGACTTTAGACTTGTCAGTTACTGGAGTTCCACAACCGGTCTTTTCTGTAGTTTCTCCTCAGATATTGTTTGCTTCACAAATGACTTCCCAGGATCCAACAGTTGGTCTTCAACTTGAGCCTGACCCTAGAAATGGGAATCAGGCATTAACCAAATTACCAAATGCCAATCAAATTCCTAGTTTCTTGTCAGTTAATCACCCTCAAACTTTGTTGAATCATTCTTTTGCCCAACATGTGAGCAGTGCACAAAATGCTGCTGGTACAGCTCAGCTCCCTTCTAATTCCATTGGGGGGCATTCAGGGGCCCATCACCCTTCACAAAAGATACATTCAGTATCCCAGCCATACTCAGTGATACATCAGGAGTCTATAATTCCCGGTTCTTCAGTGCCACAAAGCCAGACTGTGCGTTTGAAGAAGCCTTGTTTCCAAGCCTCTATTCAGCAGTAGCCATTAATTTTACAACCTAAGATTATGGCATCACCACAGAAAAATGTTCA